GCGCGGTGTCTTAGCGTGGGCGCGGTGGACTTTGGGCGGCGGACTGTTGAATGGATGACGCTCGCTTTGTTCAGCGCATCTGAAGAACCGCGGTTTTCAGTGTCTCAGGGGTGGGCGGCCTAATGTATTTCGAGTCATCCCAAGTCCACCTAGAGAGGGACATAGGGCTGCATTGTTGATGGCCATGGGGGTTTACAAGTTCGATGTTGCACATCTAGCCCTGGCTTTTGTCAACTGTTCCTGTCTTGATTGAATCTTGCATACGAATAACCCTGTTTGTGGCCTTCCCCGGAGACTTTTAGCTTCTGTCATCTCGTTCAACGACGCGCTCGGTGCGTCAGACGGAGCAACCGGAGCGTCCGGCCGACTGGGAGAAATTTGCCGCTGACCAATTGAATTCCGCGTCCCCGCGTAGAGGCATTCAGGGGGCTGCTTACTGCGGACTTTTGGGGTGAGAAATCCTTTGTGATTTTCCATTGGGTCGTTCTTTGGTTGAGGGGAATTCCTTCGATAAGAGAGCGTGTCCTATTTCAGCCAGCACTTTTTCAATTGATATGCCAGTGCCTCTCCACCTAGATAATCATGTTCAGCTGTGGGTGGGTGCTATTTCCTGCTAAAACTCTTGGACAGAACATAAATAATAGAAGTCAACATGCTGGCCCACATGTCTCAACTGAAGACAAGAGTACAGTTATTGAATTAGTCATAGACTCCCCTTACTTTCATCTTTGCGGCACCGTTCAATGTTCATTCTTCAACAGAGGTGACCTCCGTTCAAGATGTTAGATTCCCGGCCCGAGATAAACCTTGCCGCACCACGCTCTTATCGGCCCTCACCTTACCCTCCGGCCTCCCCCCTCCCGGCCTCTCTTCCGAACAGCGGGGCCCCGGCCAGCCCATATCTCCCGATTGAGCAATCTTTAGCACCCCATTGGTGAAGCCATCCGGAGAACATCTTAGCTCCAAAGTCGTCATCGCCTGGCGCTGTCACCCCTCACTGCCAAAATGCGGAGGGCCCCGCCAACACCAGCCGTTCCGAGTTCCGACCTCCGCGGTGGTCCCCCACTCGGATCTTCAACAACGTGAATCGCGGGGGGAATAAATGAGCCCCATGAACCGCAGACGTTCACCATGAGTTGCCTCTCCAAGTGAACTCTCTTCACATCAACCCGTCAAAATGGCTGAAAAGACAGACACCGAAGCAATCCTAAAGAGCCTCACGCTCGAGGAAAAAGTATCTCTCCCTGTCACACCCCTCTCCCACAAACATCTCACTAACCTCACCTCCAGATCCGCCTCCTCGCCGGCCGCAACTTCGTCGAAACAGGCGACGTCCCCTCCAAAGTCCCCGCCATCAAGACCACCGACGGGCCCAACGGTACCCGCGGCGCCGCCATCGACGGCAGCACCAAGGCCGCCTGCTTCCCCGCCGCCTGCAGCATCGCCGCGACCTTCGACCGCCGCCTCGCGCGTGCCGTCGGCGCCGCCCTCGCCCAGGAGTCCCGCGCCAAGGGCGCCCGCTGCCTGCTCGCGCCCACCGTCTGCATCCACCGCCACCCGCTCGGCGGGCGCAACTTCGAGTCCTACAGCGAGGACCCCTTTCTAGCCGGCAAGCTCGCCGCGGAGATGATCACGGGCTGCCAGGGGCTGGGGGTCTCGGCGACGATTAAGCACTTTGTGGCGAACGAGCAGGAGACGGCGCGGACGACGGTCGATGAGACGATTTCAGAGCGCGCGTTAAGGGAGATTTATTTGAGGCCGTTTGAGATTGCAGTGAAAGAAGCAAAGCCGTGGGCGGTCATGTCGGCGTATAATCTGGTCAACGGGGTGCACTGCGACTCGAGCGAGTGGCTGCTGAAGGAGGTGTTGAGGGGGGAGTGGGGGTGGAAGGGGCTGGTGATGAGCGACTGGGGCGGGACGAACTCCGTCGCGGAGGGGATCAAGGCCGGCTTGGACATTGAGATGCCCGGCCCGCCGAGGATACGCAAGCCTGCTGCGGTGCTGGCGGCGGTCGAGAAGGGGGAGCTCACGGAGGCGGTGATTGACGAGCGCGTGCGGACGATTCTGGAGTGGACGGAGCAGCTGAACGGGTTCCGCGATCCGACCATCACAGTCGAGAAGGCGATCGACCGGCCGGAGCACCGCGCCCTCATCCGCGATGCCGGGGCGCGGGGCATCGTGCTGCTTAAGAACGAGGGCGGGATTCTGCCCCTGACGAAGGAGAAGGTCAGGGGCAAGAAGATCGCCTTGATCGGCTACGCAAAGGACGGTCTCGCGCACGGCGGCGGGAGTGCGAGTGTAAATGCGCATTACCGCCTCCCGCCATGGGACGCGCTTCATGCCACCCTCGGGGAGGACGTCGAGTTCAGCTACGCCAAGGGCGCGCACAAGGAGCGCCTCCTCCCGCCCATCAGCGCGGACGGTCGGGTCGGCACGATCGTCGGCCTCGATGGCCAGCCGGGGTTCAGCAGGCTGTTCTACGATTTCCACGGCCAAGCGGGCGACGAGCCCGTTTCGGTGCTGCACAGCTACCCGAACTCGGCGTACTCCCCGCTCGGATCGCAGGAGTCGATGTGGAAGACGCTCGACATCGTGGGAGACTTCACGCCGGCGGAGTCGGGGACGCATTACGTTGCATGCTCCGGCATCGGGCCCACGCAGGTGTTTGTCGATGACGAGGTTGTGTTTGAGCAGACGGGCAACTGCGCGGATCCCATGGGTGCGCTGTTCCTCGCGGCGAACGAGCCCGAGATCAAGCATGCTTTTGAGGCGGGCAGAACGTACCGCCTGCGTATCCACAGCAAGCCGCCGACCAAGATCGGTTTGGAGATCTTGGAGGGCAGGACGGGTGTGAGAATGGGCTTCGCGCTGGAGTCGGATCACGACGCAGATTTACAGGGCGAGGCGGCGAAGGTTGCCGCCGCCGCGGACCTAGCAATCGTATTCACAGGCCACGATCCGCAGTGGGAGACTGAAGGACGCGATCAAGAATCCTTCCACCTCCCCTGCGACCAAGACGGGCTGATCAACGTCGTGGCGAAGGCGAACAAGAACACGATCGTGGTCAACTCCACCGGCGTCGCGGTAGCAATGCCCTGGCTGGGCAACATCTCCGCGCTCGCCCAGTCCTGGTTCCCCGGGCAGGAGTGCGGCAACGCCATCGCGGACGTCCTCACGGGCGCGGTGAACCCCGAGGGCAAGCTGCCCGTCAGCTTCCCGGCGCGGGTTGAGGACGCGCCTGCGCACGGGAACTTCCCCGGCGAGCGCGTCGACGGGCAGTTGAGGGTTACGTATGAGGAGGGCGTGTTTGTGGGGTACAGGCACTACGACCGCGTTGAGAAGTCCAAGGTGAACTTTCCCTTTGGCTTTGGGTTGTCCTACACGAGCTTTGAGTACGCCAACTTTGCTGTGGCTAAGAAGGGCGGTGATGAGTTCGAGGTGAAGGTGGATGTTACTAATACTGGCAAGCTTGAGGGCGGTGCCGTGGTGCAGGTTTACGCTGGCAAGGCGGCTCCGTCACCGGATACGCCGGTGAAGGTGCTCGTTGCGTTTGACAAGGTCCGTCTTGCACCGGGCGACACGACTACTGTGCAGCTGTCTGTCGCGGCGAAGGATTTTGCGTCGTTTGATGAGGCTGGGCGGGAATGGCTTGTGGAGGCGGGGGAGTACAACTTCACTCTTGGAGAGTCTGCGGCAGAGGCAATCTCTGTGGTCTCATTGGCGGTAGATCGACTGACGTACCAGCGCTAGAGTAGATTACTGCGAAAGTAATGAGAAAACTCATGTTTCTTGTGTCTACCTGTGCAGCATAGCTATGTTTTCTGTTCACAAGCATACCTACAAATGTCTATGGAGTGTATTATTTTAAGGCGCGAAAGTAACAGCTGTAGAGACAATGGATTTAGACACGACGACAACAGCATAGCAAATACTAACACCAACCATGCCGAAGGCCACAATGGAGATATAGCATATCTCAAATAAATCGTAGCTACTCCATCGTAGTCAAAATAGGGGCTTCCTTATGATAACGAATGCTCACGTACAGCGCTGCATACCAATCAAACAAGTCAAATCTAGGGGTCTAACTTAACTATTTAGTCTAAAATTCGTAATAAACTTAACTATTTAACTAACTTAAACTTAAATTAGTTCATTTAATAAATAAGATAGACGAAATAAGTATATAGTTAAAAGGTTAAAAGTATACTATAGGTGCACTTTTTTATTATATAGACCTACTTTTCTAAGCCTTAGGTTTAAAACTAATAAGTACTAGACTTTTTAGCTTAGTAACTATTAGAAGGCTAGGGCCTAAGGTAGGGCCTACGCTAAGCCTATAGTAGGGCCTAAGGCTAACTAGCTAGATTAATCTAAGCTTATAATTAGCCTAGATCCTAGACTATATATAATCTAAGGCGTCACTAACTTAGTTAAGTTAACTAAATTAATAGCAATAATAACTTAGCTGTTTGAATCTCTGAATAGCCTTAATTTAATTAACTATTTGATTGACTTATTTAAATAGACTTGGTTTAGGTGCAGCGCTGCTCACGTACCACGAAGGGATAGCAAATGCCGATGCCAATGCAACCCATAGGCCCGCAACTGATGTGTCTCGGACGCCTGCATCATAGTTATAGTAGCACGACATGACCACAGCCACAACCGCGTGTTCAAGAATGACAATTGGCATCTTTTCCAAGGAGCACCGCAGGACAGGACCATTTTCGCGGCTCTTGGCTAAGACAGTGAATACCATTAACAAAGCTGTCAGCCTGCGTCCGCCGGAGATTACAAACATTTAATCGGCTGCCTGCCATCAGTCCAAATGCGGCCATTTGGGGTCAATGTCGTAGGCACCGAGAGACATCAAGTCGCCTCTGATTCGACTTCGCCTTGGCCTCGCCCCTACGAGAAGAAAACAATAAATCCGCGTCAGATCCTGGCCCCGGCATTAATGTCCATCACGTATTCGTCCAGCACAGAATCCATAAAAAATGGGCTTCCATTTCAACCCAAACATGTTCAACACCATTCGATGGTCCGTCTGGGGCCAGCAGATTTGGGCCCTTGTGGGTGCCGTTGCTGCACTTACTACGATGGCGATCCTCCTCGGCAAATTCAATAACCGGCCTGTTTTCAACCAGATGGGAATTACGCTCAATGCCATTATCTCTATACTCTCGGTCACAGTCAAAGCTGCAGTGGCTTGCATTCTCTCGGAATGTATGGCTCAATGGAAGTGGATTCTCTATGGTCGAGAAGACCGGGTCTTGATTGATTTCGACCGACTTGATGGCGCTGCACGTGGTCCGCTCGGTAGCTTGAGAGTTCTATTGAGAACCAAGAGAGCGTACGTTTTGAAACGCTATAGTGAATCTTCTGTGATATTGGCTAATCTCACCCATCAGGCACGTTGCCCAGTTCGGCGCTGTTTTGACGCTTGTTGCCGTCGCCCTTGATCCGTTCGCCCAGCAACTCCTTCGACTTCGAGAGGATGTCACGTACCGGAAATCGACGAATGACTCCTTGGCACTTATATCAAGTGCCTATACATATACTCTGGGCATTGCAAATATCGAGGAGGTGTATTTTAACAATGGCACTTTTGACTTGGTCCGCAATACAAGTACGACCAAGACATCCCGGTTTTGGAATGTGACGACCAGCATACAGCCGTCAATGGAGGGAGCGATCATGAGTGCCTTCTACAAGTCACCAGAGGAACTACGAAGAGAGACGCTGTTCCAGTGCTCGTCGGGCAACTGCACCTTTGAGCCATTTGTTACCGTGGGCATATGCCATAGATGCAAAGACGTCACGTCTGATCTCAGGGAGATGCCTGGCAGCTATGACGAGCTTCTGAACACAATAATCGAGTATCGGACATCCAATAGTCCTGGCATCAAAGTAGGCGGTCCCGGATTTTATGCGACCGGGTACAGTCTTCCCAACGGTCATTTTATCGCCAATACCGACGGCTGTCGTCCCTACCAAAACATCAAATGTAGGAGCAAGTCATATGCTACCACTTCTTTCGGCACGGGAAATCCAAACAAGACAGTCGCCATGAAGGATATCGACACTCTACTGTGGTCCCTGAGTATCATTTACGCAGACATCAGTGCCCTTAAGGCGGCCAAGGCTCTGTATTCTACCAACGAATCACCTGAGGTAACCTGGCCAACTGTGCCTTTAAAGGCCTTAGAGTGTGCTCTCTACTATTGCGGCAAATTCGTCAATTCAACAGTCCTCAAGGGGCGCTTGAAAGAAAACATCACGGACGTTGCCGGAAAGAGAGATAAACACTCATGGGCCTCATCCAATCAGTTCATCGACGACAGCAGTGACTTATTGCCAGAATATCGCGCACCCCCGGACGAAATTCGAAGTCTCGAATTTCACAAGTTATGGTCCGTGGCCAGATACCAACCTCTCACAATCATTTTGAACTCTAAGGAACAAGTCACGATTCAGGCAAATTCCATCAAATCCATCGGTGCCTACATCCAAGGCCTGTTTCGTTGGGAGCCCTGGTTCAATAACACCAAGGTCCGCACTGAGCTAAGCCGTCTTCCGGGTATGGAAAATGCGGTTGGCTTCAATGGCGCTTCCTTTGGTCCGGTCAAGGATCTCCTTGCGATTGCTCAGCCCCCGGCCCTGAATAAACTGGTGTCAACGAGCCGGTCCGACTTTGCTGGGATCGCCAGAGTCTTTGAGTCGATGGCTATGAGTATGACGAATGAAATCCGGCGAACTAACCAGGAGGCTGACATCGCCCATAATGGAATGGACACCATGAAAGGAAAAGGGCTGGTAGGCAGCACGGTTGTGTTGTACGAGGTTAAGTGGCCGTGGATAGCGCTCCATGTCGCCATCTTAGTGCTGGCCTGCACGTTGCTGTTGGTAACGATCATTGAATCTAAAAGCAGCGCTGCCGTGCCGTTGTGGAAGAGTAGTTCATTGGCCGCCCTTCGCCATGGGCACGATATCGGCGGGTTGTTCAATGACTCTGACAAGTCTGTAGCCGGTATGGAAAACACGGCTAGAAAGACGTATATGAGTGGACGCCAGATTGACGTCGAGGGGACCAAGCATTCGGGCGAACAGTATGCGGGCCTTGTTGAAAGTAGGAGAGCCTCGCAGACGTATTTGGATGATGAAGGCATGGACTCGTCGACAACAGATATTGCGTGTGCAGAAAGACAGCTGGGTAACTCTCTCACACCACCGTCACCAGAACGAGAGCCAAAGCTGGCACCGAGAGCACAGTCCCATACATTTTAGGTAGGAGGCTATCCAAAATGGCGAGGAATGGGCGATAACCGTTGAGAAGTTCGCCGCGATGACATTCTTAGGAAGGCTCAAAGTGAATTGATATCTTGATATTACCCTGTTCATGCTGTCGGCCCAAATTGCACAGATCATGCAATATCATAAGCCCAAAGGAAGAATCACGAGCGGCGTCTGGCCAAGGCCCCTACAACAGAACCAATATAGCGGAAATTTAGACCCAGTAACTACCCCAGTAACCATACGATCAAACGCCTGCTTCCATTTCAGCAATGCGCTCCTCCCAGTTCGGACCGAACAGTTCCTCGGCCTGCCCTGTCAACTCCCTCATCTCTTCGGCATGCCTCTCCAAACGCAGACGAATCCACTGATCCTTCTCATCCCGATCGCGTATCCTGTGCAATGCTAGAATATCGCCTTCGATCTCAGCGGCCCCCAGTATAGCCACCTCGCGGTTGACTTCCCCCGTCTTCAAGACTTTTTTGATCTCCTCGCGCAACTTCTCCAACTCCTCCTGTTCGTGTTTGAGCTCGTCCCGGCGTCTCTGGGCTGCGGCGCGTCCGCGGGTCTCGCTTTCAATCTTCCGCTCCAAGATCAGGACATCGGTGCGGATTTGACCCAAGCGTAACGAGAGAGAAATATCTCGGTCTTTAAGAAATGTCATCTGGCCTTCGGCTTCAAAGTCTGCCTGCATGTGGGCACTGAGCCGCTCGAAGAGGGAGCATTCGAATGTGGAGATGGAGGTGTGCGTCTGTGAAGTGCCACATCCATGGCAAGGTCCGAGTATTGCGAACGCGCTCGTGCGCTTTGGGAAAAGGCTTTGGATGGTTGTCATCTGTGAGGCAGCAGGCATTAGCAGGGGGGTTCGACGGTGGAATAAAGACATTCGGGGTTGGAGGGCACATACAGTTTGATAGGTGGAGTCGAAGATACTTTCAATTTGTTTCGTTACGAAGGCAGCGTGGTGGTGGCGATGTCGAGAAAAGTGTCGGGCGTGGGCGACGATGAGGCGGTGAGGAGAGGCTGGGATTGATGCATGACGCGAAAAGGAGACGTGACGGGCTACCCTTATTTATGAACATCATTTGCTGATGTAACTGGGAAATCATGTTTAAGTAGTAATCATCCGCCTAGAAACGATTCGGAAACGTTTCGGGAACGATTCGGGAACGATTTAATCCAGTGCATATGGGTTCGAGGCCTTGTAAAATGACGCAACAAGGTGCGGTCTGATTGCGATTCCCTAATTTATGTATGTTAGGACCTCAAGCCCGCATAGATAACTTTAGACTCAACTTCATGGGGTAAATTGATGTTCAATAAAAGCATGGATAGGTTTTAGCTCGACGTTATTTGCTAAGTATGCTTTCATTAGTACGCGTATCAGCAGATGAACCACTATCGACGCTCACTAACACATAGTTGGAACGACAACGTCAGTGATGGGTAAAAGCCGAGATAAAAGCTCAGATATTGACGTAAAAACATAATATGGATCTATCTTGATTTTACTCTGTCTCCAGATTGCTTTCTTGAAACAAAGGCAAAGCAAAATTGCGGTCGATAGCTACTTGGTCTTAGTCCTCGCAAGCGCCGTTAAGTAGGAACGGTACGTTGGACAGGTATTAAACTTTGGATATCTCCATTGACACAGATACAAGATCAGGTTTTGCTCAACCTGTAGAGCGACCCTGTACAGCGAAAAGAAAATACGCGGAACGAAACGTCTTGAGCAACGACTCGAAAGCAGCATGCAAAAAGATGAAATCGATACAGGTGCTTAATATCTTATAGTGGCTGGATCCCGCCAGCAAAAGACACACCGAAGGCACTCTCAACAATCTGTATACATGTTTGTCTAGGTAGCTGTCGCAATAAACAGACACAGAGCTCTGTTGTCCATTTATCTCACGAGCGTGATTCGTATGGCTTGTTCCTTGAAGAATTTCCTCGAGTGTTTCGAGCCAGTCCAGACAGAATTGGCGGTTGGGCCAGCGTTCTCCGAGAAGATAACCGGGCTATGCCTGTCGAAATTCGGGATGCTGATCCAGAGGCAGGCAGCTGAGGTAGCTCGTAGGGGGACTGCTCGCACGAAGTAGACGACATCTGGGATGAGGAGCTTGAGTCATCTTCCTCAATACTTGCAACACAGCCCTCGGCATATTGAATGGAAGCCTCGTCACTCTGTATGATGCGCTGTCCTCCGAACTTTCGCTGCATAATTGACTGTCCCAGAGATTCATCCTGTGCCGAAGGTAAAACGTCCTCGTCCATAAGCAGACGTGACTGGTCTCTCTTTTGTGAGCCCCCCTCGTCAGATAAGACAGTCATCTCGTGCCTGGCTTTTCCCGACACATAGTCGAGCCAGAGTGGGTCATCGTCCGGATCTTCTCCCTTTTCCAACCTGATCATACTATGCTGGATGCTGAGTATGTTGACTCGACTTTGGCAGCATAGTATTTCTTTGTCGTATATAGCTCCCTTAAGAGTCGAACTCGGGGCCGGGCATTTGGAAACTTGGTCCTGGACATGATATCTGCTGCGCCCGATGATCGCGTTGTCCATACTTGGGCTTTCCAGCATCGCGAGCTCTGTTGCGAGGCAAATGAAACGCTCATCGAGTGTTGATCTGTGCTTCTTCAGCATGGCAAGGTCCATTATGACGGATCGTTCGAGTTCTCGCTCGGTACGGAGTTTGTCGAAAAGAAAACATTCGAACGAAATGATCGCTGATTCTCTATGTATTCCAGAACTGCCGCAGCCTTTGCATGGTCTGAGATCGCAAGATTCGGTGTATTTGCTCGGCACGTAAGTGTCGTCGTTCATCTATGTGGCCCTTGGTGAGCGACTTATGCTTGGCTGGGATGGATGGGATTGAGCTTTTGCGTACCGTGCCTTCTGTTGAGTTCACTGGCTATAATTGGGCTACATATTTTGCAGTTTGATGGGACCACACAACTGTGATTTGACCGTCGATGGCGGGTGGTGGTGTCGATGTTAGGAGTTGTTGGAGTTTCGTCGGGGATAGGGGCAAGGAAACATGCAACGCGTCGAACCATCGGCGTAAAAATATTTGATTTTGATTATGTCATCCACCGTGGGCGCACTTGATCTAGTGGATTGATCCTGGAATGATCTCAGACTCATGGCATCTCGACCTGAAGTCCATTAATGGCCTTGAACAGCCCCAATCTCTTCAGACCTGCGCGCTGAAAGCTACTTGGAGATAGTAGATCGGCTGACATCCTATGTAACTCGACAGAATAGCCTCATAGGCTTCATAGTCATTGGAATCAAATTGAAATATAATTGGAGATTGGGTATAGGGTTTGATATGCTTTCGTGCACGAGTTGACACGCGGCGCAGCTTGATACCATGAGTCGCAAGAACGAGGATCAGAGGAAGTGGAGCCAGCTTATTCCTGATATCCAGTTTTGCTATCGATCAACTCCAGCACAAGGATCTGGCCCGTGGAATGTTCTATTCTTTCAGTTTTAGTACATAACGAAAGATATCAACGCAATTCCATCATCACATCCCATTCGGAAAGTTCCCTTGCATTGACTATTGCCAATGAAGAAAAAGGCTCCTGGTGTGGTGTGACTCCCCTGGACTCAGTTTTAATTTGCCTGTTCCTAGATCGCACGACGCCTGGGTGTAGTGTAGGGGTGATGTCTCGGCGATCTTGTCGAGCTACTGCGTTGCGGTCCCGAGGGATGGGCAGCTTGTGCCATCATGCTTGCCGACCCTGTGCGTGAATTGATTGCTGACGTGGTCTGGCTTTGCCTCCATTCGTCAGTAGAACCTGCCGATGGAGCGTCATGCTGCGGCATTATCAGTGTCATCCATGGAGCAACGGGGTTGAAATCCTCTTCTTCCGTTTTAATAGCCGCTTCTTCGGTGTATTGCAAAAGACTCAGCCCGACCATCCCTGCCATACCACGATATTGGACATCTTCCTGTGCTATGCTTAGGACTTGTTCCAAGGGCATGGGGGATGCAGCTGAAGCGGCGCCTTCGTGTCGTGACCCCACCAGACGCTCCTCGGTCTCATATGCTCCTCCATCCGCCTGTCATATCTTGTCCATCAATTTTTCATGAAATCTTTCGGCCATTTCCTCTTGCCATAACTCCTTATCTATCGGATCCTGCTCCCTGTCCGACTTGTCGATGCTGTTCCGGATTCGGATTATTGCAGCTCGGCTTTCGGCGAATATGCCATGCTTGATTGCCAAATATCGGTGGTCATTTTGAATCCTTGCCTGCAAGTGCCCAATGGCCTTCCTGCGTGTGTTGCAGGTCCACAGGGCTGTGGCTCGACGCCCGGGGGTCATCGTGTCGAGACACTTTTCTATCGTGATGATTGCTCTGTTGCGGTTATCGAGTCGGATATTCAGGCTGTTAAGTCTGCTGTAGATCCCGCGTATTGCGAAATCAGCGGAGACTTCGGCTTGGATTTCTGTGGAGAGCTGCTCGTGGAGGAAGCATTCGTAGGGGATGTCGTCGGTGAACGAGTGCAAGCCAGATTTGGAGCAGCATTTGCAGTTGCCGAGAATGGCAGCTACGTCTCTTTGACTCGGAGCGAGAGCCTCGATGTGCATCTAGTTCACCATAGTGGTCAGCGACGGGTAGGTCTTGAGGCTTCGGGAATTGAAACAGGGTGCGGAGAAATTTTCCTACCGCCAAGAAAGATTCATCTTCGGAAAGAGAATAAAATGAATAAAAAGAAGATGATGGCTTTTAGAGCTTTGCCTTATAATAAGGTTGACGACTAGGTGTGGTGCCACAGGTCGTTATCAGGAGCAGTGAGAACGGTGTGGATAGAAAAGGGGGGTTGGGAATAGCTGCAAGGAACCCATCATGTCTAGGACGAATTTTGAAAAGTTTTCAGGTTACGTAATTGGTCACGCGTCAATCCCTCGAACTCATACGCATGGGATCAATCCAAGCCCGATCTAGGCCCAATCCAGGCCCAAACCGGAAGAAAGCTGCTTCTCGAGCCGTTCACAAGGTGCGCGAGGGGGTTTACTTGGAAATGTGTTGTGGCCTACCCTTTCTGTTGAAGTGCGCCAAGACTGGGGCTGAATAGCAAGCACATATTGACTTATAACTTGCTTATCCCAGTTGATCAGAAACCGTTGTAAGTTCAAAATTCAATCCGGATATTGTACAGTATTAACAGAGCAGCTACGAGAAGGTGTGCTGTTACTTCACGAGTCTTTGAGTGCGCTGTGTGTAAGATCAAGGACCAGAGGCTGAGTCTAACAATCTTATAAGTGGAATCATTTCAAAAAATACACTGATGCATTATGCTAACTAGAGGAAGTGAAGGACAAGCTTCTTGTATCCATCTATGCTGCTAATCAACTCTGGTACGCGGATGTATTCATCAGGACCGTGAGCAACCAATATCGAACCTGGCCCGTAGAGAACTCTGTTCTTACAGAACTCGGCCCGCAGACGAGGCACATCCGTACCAAAAGCGACCGGAGCCGCTTCAAATCCGTCTATCTCCCAGTCCAGCAAGGCTTCTGGGTATTCAAACACCCACTTCAGCTCAATATCCGGGTGGCGCGAGACAATGTCCGCAACCTTGATCTTGATTCCGGGCAAGTCACAGACCATGCGGACTTCGCAGAGAGCTTTGGCAGAAGGCGCGACGATGTTGTGCTTCTCTCCTCCCTCAAGAGTCCCAATGTTGAAGGTAGAAGGGCCCAGGAGCTCGGACTCAGGCCAGCTTGCAGCTGATAGATCATTCAGAACTGCAAGCAGTGCAGACGTTGCGCTTTTACCGAGGTGGGGGTATCCCGAATGGCTAGTTGTTCAACTATGAGCATGTCTGTGGCACACCAATACAAGGTGCAAAGTGGACTTACCAAGCGACACCATTGGCAATAAGTTCAAAAGCAACTTGACCCTTATGTCCCTTCGCGAGCTTACTTTCAGTCGGTTCGGCAAAGATGCCTGATTCCCACGTGATTCCCATGTCGTTGGCCGCAATCATTCCGTGCCCTCCATTTTCCTCGCCAACCACAAAAAACAGCCCAATATCACCTTCTTCGCGAACTTTTCCATCTTTTCTCAGCTCCTCGGCTGCTAGGATTTGAGCTGCCAACGGGCCCAGATCATCGGAAGAGCCCCTTCCCCGGATAATGTCGCCGTCGATTGTGAGGGGAATGTGAGGCGGCACGGTATCCATATGAGCCGTGAGAAGCACTCGCGTGGTCCTCTCCGAGCCAAGATAGGCGTAGACATTATGACGACTGGATCCGGGCGCAATTGGAATGCGCTCAACAGTGTAACCCAAGCTTTGGAGATGCTGTTCCAGAAACACACCAATGCCGTGTTCAAGCTCGCTGGTGCTGACAATTGACATCAGTGATTTCAAGAGGTCCACCGCCGGATGGTCCATAATGTTGGACGCCATGGTTGATTTCACCTGTTGTTGGAACACTGGTCAGCCTCTGACGAGATTTGGTGGCCAAGCGTGTCTGCTTAGCGTCGCCTCGTCTAGCATCCCCTCTTTAAATGTCGCCTTCGGGACTGGACCGAATCAAATGTTCGGGACTGAACCGAAGTACCAACCCGTGAGTCACTGCTTACGTCCACGTCACATGACCCATTTTGAACCAACTTCAAAACGGGCCCGCCTGAGTTACTAGTCCAACGGTTGAACAGATTAAGCCAAATAAGCGAGTCGACTAAGATGGATGCGGTTTTAGAATAAAGCTGACCAAATGGACAACACCCTACTACAATAAGCTTACAAATTTGGCAACCTGGGACTCGAATTATAGGGGACAAATCCCCAATAAAACTTGACATACGACGACCTTCATGTGCACGTAGTTCGGTGATAGAACAACACATCTCATGTTTCCTTCAACCATTGAGGCTATGTTTAGTATGGCGAAGTGAGTTTGCCCCAATCTAGGAGTATGATGTCTCTCAAAGCACACCCGGTTCCCAGGTATCTCTGTCCAGGCCACGCTTTTGCCCAGACCCAGCCATCCGCGTGGCAACAGGGAGGGTTGCACCAATCGGACGGGTCGCTGCATATGTGCCCTCGATAAAGTCTATGTAGTTTGCGAAGGAACGCCAGCGTAAACGTGGTCTCAACCTTAGGGCTCAAACTAACGCCTTTCACGCAAGGCTGCAGAGTCCCACGTCAAGATAGCATCAAATCTATTTTGGAAAAGCAAGCCGCGTATTCTGCTTGGAGCATCACAATTTGGCGGCGAAAAGGCGTGAAGTGCAACAACCTCCGTGGCACCCGAGCAGGAGAGGTAAATGCCACTAGCCGCGATGAGTGTTGCCTCAATTCAGTGTGTCATTCGCCTAGGGCATTGAAAACCGGGAAGGCGCTCAGGGGCTGTCACACGTCGGAACTAAACATATAAAGCTCACAAACTTCCCCTGGCCGGTTCACTATATCTATGTGGGTGGAGACACACGAAGCCATATCAAATAGAAAAACGGCTTCATCCAGCGATCTCCGTTCTATCAGGTTACCCGGGAATTATGTCTTCAGAAAGGATCACCATCTATCAAAATGGACTTTCGACTCCCGGTGTGCACGTCCGACACGAATCAGACAGTCAAGATCCGCCACCCGAATACACGTATCCCGATTCCCCTACAGATGGGACGATCACGCCTGGCCGCGTCAACACCCCCTTCTCAAACCTACCGGCAACGGAAAGATTAGTCAGACGACAGGTTCCGATCATCGCCATTTCATCAGGGTCTCCCGGAGTGCCAATCTACATGGTGTGCTTCCTGCTCGTCATTTGTTTGTTGGCCTGTAAGTCACATCTCGGACAATAAATCCTGTGCGGACCTGCTAACCCCTGAACGAAAGACCATCTGGTTTCGCTATGTATGGCAATCTACACTTGATGACCCTTAGGTCAATATGCACTGCAAAACAAGTCCTGAATGGCCTGATTTCATGTCCACTTGGACCACTTGGGAATGCCCTCAGCGAAAGTCGGTGTGAGTGACGGCGTGGATACTTCTTTCAATTGATATTACCGTCTCGTGCGGACTTAGACGGCCACCCGTGTGAACTACAGACATACACCCTGATAATTACCGGGTTTTGTGGTTTTGGAGAACCCGTGCGGCTCCCCACGGGGCCTCAATTCTCGCATCCAGGTGCACATCCCGACGACTTACCATACCGAGATTGGAATTGAGTTTCAGCTTCGATGGTCTTGCGGAGATTGGGTAAAAACACGGAATCAGCACTTACAGTTCACTGGGCGCTTATCTCTATATATACCTTGGTCCCCATGTATGCGAGCGCCATTCCAAATTGTCCAGATCGCACGCTGTTTTTAACTACTCGCATTCAGATTGTCCAGATTTCACGCCGCTTTGACTACTTGACTTGAGAGGCTTCATTTCCCTGATTGCTCCATGACAGCAGCCATGGATCCGTTCAAACCCATCCCGTCTGAAATCCTTCGGATGATACTCGAGATCCTGCCGAGCCGCTCCGATTTTGCTGCTGCGACTGAAGCGTACGCAGCCTTTCGTAACGCAGCTGATCCGTTCGAACGCATCCCGTCTGAAATCCGCCTGATGATACTCGAGATCCTGCCGAGCCGCTCCGATATTGCTGCTGCGACTCAAGCGTCCAAAGCCTTTCGTAACACAGCGGCAGGCACCTCATCACGCGACCTGATTCGCCGCTTGCACGTCCAGAAAGACCTCAGCGGAGACCTTCTCCAAGCCGCGATGGCTGTCGTCTTGTTTCCAGGTCCAGGTTCGAATGAAGCGTCAATATCCCATCACTTAGACAACTGGAGAAATAATCGGCTTCCGGACCCATTCCCTGATCCTAAAGATCCCAACAACGAGATCCACATAGAAAGGTTGGATAACCTCTGTGGCTACTTGCGACTTGTCATTACCGATTATTTGTCCAAGGCCACTAGTGCTCGACTGCCATTTGCGTATCGAGTGTTGCCAACGTGGTCAAACCCATATTATGCTTAGACGGCTACCCAGGGAGATCTCCGCCAACATCACTTGAACAGTTTCAACATTAACAACATGGAAACTGATGAGCGGTGCCGTGTTTATCGCGCCTTTCTACAGTATGAGATTCTCAGCAAGGTCTACGGCCCCCTGACAGCGGCAAGAGCGCCTGCCGGTCCTCAACCCAGGTTTTATATGTGGGACTGGAATTCTCTTTTCCACAACTCCACACCAGCCTCGGATCCCAAGCTCTTTGGGAGCATTCGCGAGTATTACATCATGACACACCGCGCGGTACTTGCCCAACTTGAAATGGACCCTCTGCAGACGTTCCGCCAAGACCCTCCGCAACACATACCGGAGGAGTGTGAGCATGCGCCTCGCGTTGGACAGTATGAGTTTCAACCCAACCCCAGATACTTGGTAGCACGTCCCCAGCATACCGATGTCGCTGGATTTGCTGTGTTGGCCAGCGGCGGTCTTGACACGCTCGTGGGCGTTTTGACGGCACAACCATGGACAATGCGCACTCTGTATTTAAAGCTCTGGCGAGAATGTAAACGCGAGCATTTGAGGTTTGGCCTGGGTCTTTCAATCCCGGCTGTAGACTACACCGATTTACAACCTTCGTTAAATGCACGACATTGGTTTTTCGCTGGTCTGGTTCGGTTGCAAAGACAGAGGGCTTGGGGCGTTTTTCGAGACGACCGCTTCTATCCGCGCTCCATGGCATCCATGACACAGCGATTTCGACAAGGAATGATGCAAAGCAACTCTTTCACACTCCAAAACTTTCGATACCCAACTAGTAACTCTTCTACCCTCCAAACTTATCGATACCCAAATAGCAATGCTTTGTATCGATACGCAGATGGCACTGCTTATCAAGCGGATTTTCAGTATTCTGGCCCACACGTCTGGGCCAGCCTCAACCAGTCTCGCATTCTTCGAGAGGCTTGGAAAAGATGTGAGAGACGCGGAGCCTGTTCTTGGAGGATCATGACAGAGTAGACAGCGGTTCGTAGGGTAGACAGCGGTTCGTAGGGCATACAGCGGTTCACAGTTGAACGATTAGCAGCTTAGAATAGAACATTACTTATAAACGAAAACGCTTTCTCCCGACTCCATACGTTTAGTGAATAATACCTTATGCCAATCCAGGAGACGCCGTTGCATAGACTCAAACCTGTCCCAAGATTTCCAAGTTATCCAATGAAACACATTCGATTTTACGGGTGTTCTTTGATGGAGTCAATCTTGACTCTGATAGGTTTCCAGATCCTGGCTGCAGCACTGTCAATCCAGATCGCTGTCGTCTCATCTGTCTTGTAAAGACTCATGTCGAACCGGCTGAAGAAGTTTGCGATGCTGAGATACATCTCAACATAAGCAACACTATGGATGGTTAGCTCTTTGTTCAGCTTTGACCGAGCCACCGTGCTTAAACTTACTTCATGCCCAAGCAGGATCGCGGTCCTTTGCTGAATGGAACAAAATACCTCTCCAACGCCCATCCCTGTTCCCCGAGCCAACGTTCTGGAATGAACTTCTCAGGCTCGGCGAACAGATCAGGGTTGTCATGAATAGTGCGGAGAGTCTGCGAGACAGTTGTCTGTGAGGCAAGTAGAGTCAGCATACCGCACGCAACATCCAGAAAGGCGCAATACTTACTCCTTCCGGAAGATAGTAGCCGTCAACAGTGGCGCCGCCTTTGGGAACTCTTCTCGGGATGATGCCAGGTACTGGAGAGGAGAGACGCAAAATCTCCTTGATGGTCGCACTCTACATCTCTGAGGTCAGTGGCACATCCCCGATATCACGCGCTAAATGAGCCACGTACCAAATACGGTAGGCTGCTGATGTCACGGTACTCATAAAGACCCTCTGAGTTGGTACCAACAGTCTTGAGCTCTTCAAGCACCTTCTCCAACTTGTCGGGATGCCTGAGTAAGTAGTATGTGCCGAAGGTGAGACCAAAGCTGGTCGTGTCGGTGCCTGCAAAACACAAAGCCAGAGCTTCGTCAACAAGCGCCTCACGGCTCAGCTTGTGGTACATCTTTGTGTTTTTGGTGCTCAGCAAAGTATCAAAATATGTGCTGCGGCCGTCGGAAGCGGTGTCGATTCCAGCGTTTTGCTTGTCTTCAATCTCCTGAATCCACTCGGAGCATTGCTGCGGAGTTGTGTTAGGCGATATGCAATGCAACTTCAAGACGTGGGTCATCGGAGGATTTACTTACGTGGCGGAACTGAGCATATCCCGGCAGCAGCTTTTGAGCGATACTCATGGGAATAGCCATGGCAAGATGAATGAGAAACGGGAAGTGCTTCGTAATCAGGAAGTTCTCTGCAAACTTTTCCATGATGTCCAAGAAGGGGGGAAACTCCTCGTCCTGGTCAACCAAGTTCATGTTTCTGTCGAATAGAACAGGCATAATGGTGTCGACCTTTAGAAAGGAACAGAAGTCAGCAACCTTTCCAACGAAAGCCACAGATTAGAATCAATAACAACGGTAAAACTTACTGTCACGGCCTGCCAGAAGGGCTGCATGCTGATAGCTTCTCCCTTCTCAAATGATCTCTGTGCCCTTGCCATGGCTCTCTTGACGACGTCAAGAACGACAGGAGCCAATTGGTCCATCTGTTTTGGCGAGAAAATTGATTTCACAGTGTTTCTGCGCTGCTTGTGCGCCTCGGGATCAATCAACATGATAATGGAATACTTGATGCCGCCTCCGCTCTGGAAGAAGTCAGGGTCCTTGGTGTACTTGGTGCCATTTCCGTAAACCCTTAATGACGATGTTAGCTTACACTTTTGCCACTGAAGACTCAATTGCTAACATACTCTTTGAAATATTCTGGGTTATAGACATGCACTCTGCTTGGTGATACTCTCACAACAGGTCCTGCTTCGGATCAGTCCGTGATGTCGCGTTCGGGCATCGGAATCTCACTCACCATACTTAGCGTGGAGTTTGGGGTAATCCTTGATGTAATGGCCGTCCAGGATGACATCCTGGTAGAACTCATACCAATAAGTGACTGCAGCGTACCATGGGCCAGGGATGTTTCTGAGGGGGTGGAACAGGAGCCTGTAGGCCACGAGTCCGACGGCATAGAGCACAAGCCCCACGACAAAAATGCGCGGGGCGTCGCTCAGGAGACTCTGCTGGCCCAGAAGCTTCAGGGCCATGTTTCGATCTGGGTGAAGTCGGTCGACTTCAGAAGCGATCGCCTTGGGTGCGTGGAGAAAAGAGAGAGGTAGAAGTAATACAATTGACTCGCATAGAACAGAGAGGTCTGAGCCAACGGGATGAGATTTGGCGAATCTCGCTTCCCTTATGGCCTTTTCGCAGTCGCCGCGCTGCACGGTTCTGCACTCAAAGATAGTGTTGCCCAAGTCGGAAATGGTCGACCAAGGCACTCTCGCTATTTCGAGGAAAGGCAGCAGGCGGCAACAGCGTCGAGAATCCCTGATCGAGCCAATCGTTGATCATTTTCTCCATTGGGGGTTGAACCTATATGTAAGTATGCAGGACATCTGCGGGACCCCATCAACTCATCAATCGCACGTCGCTATGGCCCTCACCGCTAAATTAGCGTGGGCCTACTGTGCCGTTCGATGCCTCTGGCCCTGAAGCAGCGCTGCCGTGTTACTCAGACAAACAATACAAGGGCATTATTTGGTATGTTTGCCTGGATACTGGATACAGATTGGTCATTCGACGGATCGCGGGCTGACAGTCAAGGCAGCAGTCGAGGCTGCAAGGCAGCAGACAATGGCTTACATCACTTTCGGTGTTGCCGCCTTATGGGTTTGGGGCGCCGCTGGTTTGGGGGCCGATTCCTCGCATCTTGCTTCCCGAAATGTTCGGGTTAGGGCTGAAGTACCTGAGTCCTGGGACCCGTTGATTCATTCTGGTGGCTGCCCGGGCATCCTTTACATGAGATGTCACTGAAACAGGACCTCTCAAGAGGCGCGGTCGCTGTTCCTTCCAGGCGGAACTTGGTTGTGATCCTTTTGTGGCAACTCTCCACTGCCGGATGCGGCATCGTCTGATAGTCCTCTTCGTGACACGATCCACTTGCAGTGCTCCGTGGAGTTCTGCAGCGAACGAGATCCTCGCCGGATTGCACACGAACATCGGACAAACATTGCATGAGAACATCTGACAACTGTTGACAAGTCAACATGTCGTGTCTCATTGGCTATTCTTGTGCGATGCGATGTAACCAGCCCCTGATGTTCGAGTTCCGACCCCTCCTGGCGGGATCATTCCAACGGGACCACGAGTCTTTCCATGTCCTCCGGGGGTGATTCTTCCCCTTGGCACCACGGTTTTGGCCTCTGGAGTCTGGAGGCACCTGCGGACCCCTCAAGACCAAGAGCCGAGCCCACACACTGCGAACTATCCCGGCATCTCATATGGCCACTCTCCCATAGGCTAGTGTCCTGACAGCCGCGGGGCCTATGAAAACACTCCGACGGAATGTGGACTGTGTCTGGCTGTCTGCGCCGCGAACCTGCAGCGCCGCCAACATTTAGCGGCTCGGGACGATTGGCTATCCTCTCCTTCGGTGAATCTAGCAGGCTGTAAGGCAGGGAAATCCCAGTATCTGCGACCGGCAAACAAGCAATCCTAGCCACAACAACGTGTTTTTTCGACTTTCCAATTGAGCAAAGTTCAGACTTCGGCGTCCTAACTCTAGTCCGGGTAATACCAGACCGAATCTGGTCTGTTCTTGGGGATTTCCACTCTTCCCAATGTGATAGCAGGGTTGCATCAGTTCCCCCAAGTAGGTACAAAAGGGAAACCTGCAGACAGAACGGATCTTGTTCTGTGTGCTAGGTACAAGTCTGTAGTCGGTACCCCCGAAAGGGGTATCCTAGGCATTACAAGCGGAACCTCAACGCGCAGTCGCGCATTATTACACACAATACCTAGCTCCACGGGCTCCAAGTGCCGCGATGCTGTCACATGGTGCGCCTTAGGGTCTCCAGTGAAAGGAGATAACTTCTTGAGGGGACTTTTAGGTGGATAGCGGCCGCCGGAAATGTGTAGGCTCCAATGCACGCCAATGGCGGTGCAGCAAGGCGAAGGCTGACATTGCTGACACCGAGTCACCGACGGCCACAGTTATGTCTCTTTTGAGCAAATGCCTGTCAGCTTCTATGGACTCTTACGCCCCCAGACTTGTCAACCTGGGAAAATCAGAGTTTGGCCTTGTCTTGGGACTGGGACATCCATGTCTATGGTGATGTGTCCAAGTCCCTGACCCTCCTAGCGGAGCTAAGATCAACTCCTTGACTCGCCCTTCTGTGGTTCGGACAATAATCGCCGCCTCTCTCGCTTGCGGTGACGAAACCCTCGCAGAAGGGGTGGGTCTCTTCTCCCGGTCGTCCTAGGCTTCCTGGTTAGTCACAAGGGC